GCTCAGGTCTGTTGAATGAGGCAAAAGCCCAGCCCAAGAATTTTAAAATGAAGCTCTGGGGTCCACAGAGGGAGGACCGTGGGGGGTCGGGGGTCGGTGGGAAGGGGCAGAGCTGCAGAACCAGACGTGCTCTTCCTACCCGTCCTCAGCTCCTCACAGGCAGAGTGGGTGACACACTGGGATCTTTCCGTTTTCCTAGTTTTTAAACAACCACATGTGAACCAAAGAGGGGAAAAAAGCCTTTTTTAACACTTGTTCTTCCTCCCATGAGGAAAATCTGGGGAGGATGACGTCTTGCCACGGAAACCTTCTGATCCATCGTTTCACTTCTCTGCCTCAGTTTCCACCCCTGTCATGGGAGAAGGGGGGCAGCCCCACCCACCAGCTGGTGACAAAGGTTGATTAAATGAAATTCCCTGAGATGAAGACTAAGGGACCCTGGCACCGAGCCCACTGTAAACCGGGTCAGGATGGCGCCCGTCGTGGGGTTCCAGCCCTGGCAGGCTGACAGCAGAGCCCCTGAGCAAGGCATGACAGCACTACATTCGCAGGGTGAGTGGTGGGTGAGCCACTCGGAGGCCACGCGCCAGAGGCATCGGGGGAGGGGGTAGCCTGCCGCCTGCTCCTTGGGGTAGAGACTCCCACCACCACCACCCTCTAAGCTGATCTGCCAGCCCTTGGTCCCCACCCGCCCATCCCCCAGCTACAGTCCACAGTGATCCTTCCTCCTCTGACTCAATGGGGCCGCTGTCCAACCTGTCATTAGTCTTCGGAGCCCACAACTGTCACCAGCAACGGCAGCTTTTCCTCCGGCCTTGGCAGACAAGGAACAAAGACGTGGATCCCGCCCTCACTCGTCCGTTCCGTGCTCCCCCAGCACCAGGGCATGGGGGCAGGGATGGGGTCGTGGGTCCAGCCCCTCGCCCCAGGGAGAATGTATTCCCGCCACTGAAGAAATGCTGCTGCTTGTCCCTTTTGCTTAAAAAAGGCTCCGAGGAGACCACGTATAAAGCAAGACAAATAACTATTCGTACACATTCTTACAAGGCTCTCTGAGCCAGCCTTACAGAAACCACGCGGCGTTTGGGTACGATAAAAAGCTGCGGCCACACAGGGCAGACCTTGCATTCATTCAAACGTTAGCTGAGCAAGCACCCGTGACCTCTAGGACCCGAGGACAGAGATCAATAAAACACAACCCCTTTCTCAAGTCCAGTTTTAGTGAAACACAGGCAGACGGACAGACACAGGCGTCCCCAACTGGCAGGGGGCGTCCTTCACCAGCTGGGGAAATTCACTTCCCTGCTCTGGCCAGGAAAATCTTATCTGCTGTCCCATGTCACAGGCCTGGCGACAGGCACCGGGATGAGGCCTGGGAGATAACGATCTGGAAGGCAGGCGGCGGTCCATGCACATTCCGCTGGGGACAACGGCCAGGACGCACTTCCCATGGCCAATAACTGTTTGGGTGACTGGAAGACCATTCTTGGGCACTGGGTCCCTGGCACTCCGCAGAGCAGGCCCTCTGGGGACCCAGACCCGGGAAGGGGGTGCTGCATGCCAGGCAGGTGCGACAGAACAGAGCAAGGGGCACCCCAGCAGCTGTGAACCTCCTTTCCAAAAGCCATGTGGGTGTCAGTGTCTGTGACTGAACCCCAAACAGGAACTGGGGTTCCAAGTGCAGCCCTGGGTGTTCAGGAGCTGACATCTTACAGAGTGTCCCCCACCCGCAGCCTCAGGAGAGTGACAAGAAATCTGGGGGTGCTTCTGTCATGATCCAGCTACTGAACCCCAATTAAAAAATTTAAAAATTGCATTTAGCCTGGAACAGCGAGGACGGGGGCGTGGGCAGGTGGGTTACCTTCACCTTTCAGGGTATTTGTGCTGAGCGGCCCCCCCAACCCCCAAACCAAGGCCCAGCTGTCCCCCCAGGAAACCAGCCGGGGGATGATTAACTCTACTCTGGAGGTGGGACGGGCAAGTGGCAGCTCAGGCCCACGTAGAACGTCAGAACCCAACGCAATTCCCTGAGCCTCAGGATTAAGCCCTCTCTTCGCCTGCCCCTCAGAGCTGGCACAGCGGTGATAAAAGAGAAGAGAAAAGATGGACCCCACCCAGCCACCCACACCCCAGGGCGGAGCCAACGCCACTGTGCCAGCCCCAGAACACAGGCTCCTAAGGGGCCCTCCGGGAGGCGGGCAGGCTGGAGGGCTACCAGGTGGGGCAAGACACCCTCCCAAGCCTGATATTAGGCCTGCGCCTTCACTGGGCTCCCAGCCCGCTCCTCACAGAAGAGGCTCGCCCGCAGCGCTGGCTGCATGGCCGGCCACCCTCAGCCGCGTTCTCGGGAAGGCCTCCTATGGCTCCACTGAGCTCCTGAGAACAGGTCCCTACCTGTCCAAGGAACCAGGCTGGTGCTCAGTAAACAAATCAAAGCTTGGTGCTGGAAGGCAGGAGTCTGGGAATGGAGTCCCACCCAGCCAAGGGCTATGATTTTCGCTGGAAAGCATCTTCCCCAAGACCAGCGCCGTGTGGAGCTGGGGCCTCCCAGGACCATCAGCCCCGGCCACAGCCAGCCGCACGTCTCTCCGGAGTCCAGCTGGCATCAATGGCCTAGCCTAGGCTGGGGGATGTGCAGAGGAGCGGGCAGGAGCCGCAGGGTGTGCGGAAGGCTGACCGTCACTGCAGATGACCCCAGCCCAGGACACCGGGCGCAGCAAGTGTGTGTCCTCACCTTCATACACTCCGAGTCATTCTTCCCACACACGGCCGATGAGGGAGGGAGGGTGGGAGCCAAGAATTCTCGGGGGGTGTGAGAAAACCAACCCAAGGTTTAAATACGTGGCTGGGGGGAACTGGTTACTGGAAGCTCGGCCATGATGACCGGCTTCCTAAAAAAGCCTTGAGACCTTTGACACCGGAAGCTGGGCCTGGCTCCAGGCTGGTGGGGGGCTCCCCCCAGGACAGGGTCTTCCTTCTGAGGAACGCCGCTCAGCCCCTGCAAAACCACGCTATCTGACAGAGCAGCTCAGGCCTGTGGTGACACAACAGGAAGTGGGGAGCGTATGGTGGCCTGGGGAAGCGAGGAGGGGTAAGGTGGGGAGGTAAGTCAGCCCAGAGACTCGGGTTGCCCAATGGGTACAGGGTGTCGGGGGTGAAAGCCCTGTGAATCCTGCTGAGGCCCAGGGCAGTGGACCTGGCACTCAGGGAGTGACCACACAGGCCCCCAAGGGCCGTCTCGGACTTGGGTCAGTGGGGCCCACGACAGCATTGGCTACAATCTGCCTGTGACTGCCCCCTCCCAGCAGAACAGAGCTCTGTCACCTCCGTCTCAGAATGTTCTGGGCCCCGATGCACAGTAGGTCCGCACAGCCCAGCTGAACTGACCACCCTCCCTGTCACAGCGCCAGCCCCAAGGAGCAGAGTATGGCAGGAATACAGACACAAACCAGCAGATGCAATACTGTGGCAGGTGCCACAACGTAGAAATGACTGGGAGGCGGTGGAGACACCCAGGAGGGGCAGGTGAGGGGTCAATGACAACGCAGGTTCCCCAAGACTGGCTTAAAAGACGTCAGACACAGAAGAGGCCTCCTTCCTTAGCCACATCTCAACCCAAAAGAGACCCGAGGGGAGCGAAGCAAGAGGCCTCATGTGGACGCTGTCTCCCCACCCAAATGGCTGAACAAACTTACTCCTCTTCCTAGTGCCTGAAAAGGAGCCTCCTGGGTTGCCAGGGGGAGCTGGCCAAAGAGAAATGACATTTCTGTAAACACCCACGGAGACCCATTAAGTTTCACAGTAAAGCAACAATGAATGACGGGAACAGGGCTTTTCCTACCTCCTTCCCTAACAGGTTTTTCCATGTGGGATCCCAGCTGAATTCCAAGCAGGGTACTGTGCCCCGCCAGAAACCTGCTGCCAGGCGGCACATTTTTCTCCAGGAGAGGAATTTCAAACTTCTCTTTGGTGAGCAGAGATGCTCCCCCAAACCTCTGCCAAAAATGCCAGCAGATTTCACAGCAGGGAGGAAAAGGGAGAGGGAGGCCGAGGCCAGCGGCCTGGAATCTGAGCCAATCCCCAGGGGACATCCGGGATGAAGTTTCAGAGCAGATGGCACTGCCTCTGAGCACCTCAGCTTTAGCACATGGGGTGGCATGCTGTGTTGGCTGTGGGATTCGATGTGTGTGTGTGTGTGTGGGGGGGGTTCTTTCAGCTTCTCAGCTCAGCAGGCATGCCCCTTGGAAGCCGTGTCCCCAAGAAGCTGCTTCCTCCCCCTGCTCCTTGCCATGGAATAGGACATCCTCCCACCAGGTCCTCCAGCAAAGCACGTGCATTGCAGCCCCCTCCGCCTCTCTCCCCTGCCCCCATCGCACCTCCCAAACCTCTCGGGAACCCAGACAAGCTGCAGCAGAAACTGCCCCATGACTACCCCGCTGGCCGGGGTCTGATTCCTGCATTGCTAGTGTCTGTTGAAACTGATCGCCAGCCGGGTCCTCGGAGCCGCCTGCCCCCAAGGTTGACAATCTGTGCGGAAGGAGTGGCCAACCCGCAGTTCTCCAGCCCTCCTGGAAGTCAGGGAAGCCCCTCGCGGAAGGGGACTTGACTCCTCCAAGCAACTCCCCCGGAGGAGGACCTAACCACTCGGCTTAGCTGGCCAAATATTTACAGAGAGATGGCTGGGGCCGCACAAAGCTCTTTTTCTTTGAGTACAATTACTCAGAGGCTGAAAATCTGGGCCCCGCGTGGAGACCGAGCTCCCGCCGCCCCTCTCCCGGGACCGGGAGCTGTCCCTCCGGCTGGGGGGGTCCCGGCCGGGGGGACCCTGGGGAGGCGCTGCTCCCCGCCCCGCCGACCGGCCATCAGGGGGCTGCCCGAGGGCCTCCACACCTGAGGACCCCCTGCCACCGGCGGGAGGCTGGAAGGAACAAAGGGAGCGGAGGACTCACCCCAGCAGCGGAGTCGGGCTGCGCCGGCCGCCTGAGCGCGCGGCCCGCCCACCGGGTCACATGGCTCAGAGCCGAGCAGAGGATCAAAGGGGCTTTGTGGCTGCGGAACAAGGAGCCTCCCAGAGCGCGGGCAGAGGTAGGAGGGACTGCGACTGCCTTCGAAGGGAGGCTCCTGGGGAACTAACTGGTTCCGAGGGGCAGGGTGAGGGGAGCGGAGGAGGAGGAGGGGCAGGCGGGGAAAAGGGGCGCCAGCTGCGCCGGGGGTGTTATCTGTGGTAAGAAGCGCCAAGGAGCCGAGTTACCCAGCCAGTCTCAGTCACCCCAAAAGGAAAGTGACAGGGTCCCCGGGGAAGCACCCCGGGAAGGAGAGGGGGAAAGGGGCTCACCTGGACCTCCAGCCAGGCTGCCCGGGCCGGAAGCCTGCGCACCTGCACAGTCACCCGGCCCCTCCTCCATCCCCTGCCCCCCGCCCGGGGGAGGCACACCCGTGTGCAGCGTGGTGCCAACAATCTGACAGTGCCCGTGGGTGCCCTCTTTCCCTGCTGCCCCGCCCTGTGCACCCCGCCTGCCAGGTGCACCCCAGGTGCGCCCCCACACCCTGTTCAGGCCCCTACGAGCCCAGATGACACACCTAAGCTATCCAGGGGCCTCCCCCGGGGCTGCAGTTCTCCCCCAAAGCCCCGAGTTGTTCCAGGCTTCCAGGGAGGGGGTGGGGCAATTGCCCCCCATTGCCTAGGTGTGCCATGGTGGAGATGACACCCCGGAAAGGAGCCGCAGCAGGAGAGGAACGGGGCAGGGGCTGGGGGCTGGGGGGTGGGGGTGGGGGTCAGCTCACCCTGAGCCCGTTCTTCCTGGAGCCTCAGAACATGGATTCCAGCCCAGCTCCAGCTAGCCAGCCCTAGAGGGCTTGGAGAGTGACTCACAGCCTCCTCCTTTCCCCCCTCCCTGCAGGCCCTGCGTGGAGCGGGACCCCTGGGGGGATGGGCTCGGTGGTCCCAGAGGAGGGAGCTTTCGGGAGCAACCCTGCTGGGCTGGGCCTGGAAGCTGGGATGGGCCAGACCCAGCCTCTGCCACGACCTTTGACCCCCAGTGCGTGAGTCATTCCCAGGCACGGGTGTGGCCTAACCGGCCCCAGGCCGACTCCCACACTAGCAGAGAGTTCCTGGGGCTGATTTGGGGGATTTACCCTGGGCAGGGAGCCATTAGTTCTGGTGCAAAGGAACCCCGAGTGAAGACCGTTTTAGGGCCAGTGTCTGATTTCTTGAAGGGACACCCAGTGGCCCTCCTGCCTCCTGGAGGCAGCCCCCACGGCCCAGCCCCCACAGGCCACGGCCACTCCCACATTACCACTACCAAGATGATTGCTGGTACAGTTTTCCCATTCCCAGATTCCACCCCCCCCCAATGTGGCTGGTGGGTGAGGCCCCAGAGCACCCACCCCACTGGCTAGAGGCAGGCTATGTCCAGTTGGTTCACCCTTCGAATTGCTCAGAAGCCAGCTTGTCCCTAGCAGCAGCCACTCCCACCACCCCCGCCCCCCACAGCCTCCTCCAGGGTTCTGCAGGTTTGCCACAAAGGTTTTAAGGGGCTGCTGTCCCACGGCGCTCCCTACCCCCACGCAGAGTAGCCACCGGAGCTGCTACCATCCATCTCTGGGCATTCAGCCAAAGACAGGGAGTGTCCAGGGGAGGGACAGCTCACCCAGAGTCCGCGTTCCCATCTCCGTGGAAGGGAGGCCAGTGGTGGGTCTGAGATGTGGGCTCAGCGTCAAGCACCAGAACCCAGGCCCCTTTACTCGCCATCGCTGTGGCCCCTTACTCAATGTCCGGGGGACGTGACCTTCCCCATCCGTTAAATGGCACCATCGACTCCAGGCGCAAGAATCGAAGCAAGATGAACGTGTCCAGAACCAAGAGGGCAGCCACTTAAAACATATGCTCCCCTCTCCTCCAAGGTGATTTCCTGGGACAGGGAGTGGGGAGCGTCCAGCCCCCTGGCACCCCCTGCCCACCTCGCCAGGCCCTGTCACTGGGCCCTGAAGGGCAGCTTACAGGAACCAGCAACAAAGAATGCCAGGATGGACTCCTGTCACACCAGGTGTCGAGATTAACACGGAGCCTCAGAGCTGTCATCTGCACCCCACACCCGCCCTGGTGGCCTCGTCCCACTGGGTAAAGAGGCCTTCCTTCCCTGCGTTCCCCTCGGAACCGCCCTCTCTGCCTCTGGCCTCGCTTTGTCCCCCAGCTTTCTGGCCCTGAAGGCCACGCCCAGGGCCCACCACCCTTTCCTGGGTACTACATGGGCAAACGAAAACCACCTGCTCGCCAAGCACACCCCCTCACTCTCCCTCCTCCTCCTCACCATCTCCTCCATGGAGGCGGCCTGGGTGCTTTACTCCTCTAGCAGTATACTCCTCTAGCAGTATTCCCTCACTGTTCACCAGATCGATCAATGGGGGTCTTTAAGGCACAGGAGAGGGAGTCCCCGTGCCTGACAAGCCCCCCTCTCCAGGCTGTTTTTCCAACACAGAACCATCTGCCCTCCGGGATTGCTCAGAGAGTTCCCTGCACTCAGCACACACCGGCATCTAGAGAAAGCCTGAGCCTGCGCAGCTGTCTGTCAATCCTCCAGCAGAAACAGGGCGAGCCATGTCTGTAAGTGTCAAGTTCCTAGCAGCCACATTAAAACAGTAAGAAGAAACAGACATTAATTTTAATACATTTTACTTAACCTATTAGAGCCAAAATATCGTCCACTCAACATGTAATCAGGAGAAAAACAGACATTTTACATTCTCTCTTCTTTCCGTACTAAAGCTTTGAAATCCAGCACAAATGTTATACTTAGGGCGCCTCTCGGTTTGGACTGGCCACATTTCAAGTGGTCAATAGCCACACGTGGCCAGTGGCTACTATACTGGACAGCACAGCTCTCAACATTCTCAACGCTGTCCTGGGGTCACGCCAGACACCCCTGGAGAGCCCTTTATTTGGACCATCTTATTTTAGCCCCACACGTCATTTTTAGCACCACTGTGCAGGCACGCTTAGGGCTGGAACAGGGCACAGCTCGAGGGAACAGTGGTGTCTACTGTAAGATGCTGTTGAGGCCACTGATCCCTACATCACGGTGTCCCCTTTCAGGGGAACAATTCTCTCTGATTCCATTGTCAGAAAGAGCAGAGCTTCTCCTAAGACATTCATTTACTAGACGTGTGCTAAGCAGCCATCAGACCGTCCCGAAGAGGTTAACTCCTGCCCCTGCCAGCCCATCCCCTTCTGGGGTTCCCTGTCCCATGGGGCCGAGATGAACCCCTGACTCAAAGGCAGCTGGCCACAGGCTGACCAGCAACCTGCCTTGCAAGGCCCTGGCGCCAGAGGGAGGAGTTGGGCTGTTAGCACTTCCCCCGGCAGCACGGAGCCAGGGATGTTTCTGGTGGAGGGCCGAAGGCCACGCAGACTCGGGGGGCTGGGACGCTATTAGGGGCCATTTGCAAGGACAGAGAGAGAGAGAAGGGAATGGCGAGAAGCACAGGCGGAGACCGGAGAAAGGAGGGTGGCCGACATCCAGGCTGCTACAACTCGGGCCCTTCCCCACCAGCCACTGGCTTCCCTGCACACACCCCTTCCAATAATCAACTCGTCATGCTTTTGTTCATTTATTTCAAGGTCATGCAGAATTGCACCGATTAAAAAAGAATCTAGAGAGACAGAAAGCGGACCGGTGCTTGCCAAGGAGGGAGAGGAATGGGGAGTGACTGCTAATGGACATGGGGTTTCCTTCTGGGGCGATGCAAACGTTCTGGCACCAGACAGTGGGGATGGTTGCACAACACTGGACGTACTAAATGCCACTCATGGTAAATTCTGCATTCTGGGTATTTTACCACCATAAATATATAGTTAAAGAAAAAAAGTGGGCCGGCCGAGTGGCACGTTGGTTAAGAGTTGGCTTGGGACGCCAGCTCTGAGCAGCAGGGCCCTGGTTCGGATCCCAGATGAGGGCCAGTGACAGTGTGCCCTCTACAGCTAAGATGGTGAACAACAGCTCGACCTGGAGCTGGGCTGCCGTGAGTCACTGGCGACAGGGTAGGCTGCAGTGGGGCTGGCCGGCAGCGGGCATGAGCTTTGGTGAGCCGCCGTGAGCGGCTGTCCAATGGCTGGCGGGCAACTGCCTCACCCAGGAAGAGCACAATGATAATATCAACATGGGCCAGTGAAGCGATGTTCTCCACAACTAGACTGAAGAACAAAAGGACAGCAACTTGTCTGTTCCCCTTCCTGGACTCCCCAACGCTGTTCCCCTCCCCCAATTCCCTAATAAAAATCTTTAAAAAAAAAAAAGCTTAATGTGTCCTTTTTCCCCCCGTGAACCAGTTTTTACTTTATTGTTTTATACCTTAAAACCGGAAGGGCCCTAACACAAATCGTGAATCCTTCGGAGACTGAACCATAGCCTCTCTCCTGGAACCTGTGAATGGTTACCTCGTATGGCAGGAGTCGTCATCTGAGGATTGGGAGATGCAGAGATCACCCTCACCCTGGATTATCTAGGCAGCCCCCAAATGTAATCCTAAGTGTCCTTATGAGAGGGACACAGGGAAATTTGAAGAACGTGGAGAACATAACCACGTGATGGTGGAGGGAGATTGGAGTGATGTGGCCACAAGCCAAGGACTGCCAGCAGCCACCAGAAGCTGGAAAAGGCAAGGACGCATTGTCCCCTGGGGCCGTCAGAAGGAACCAGCCCTATGGACCCCTTGACTTGGGCCAGTGACTCTGACTTCAGACTTCCGGCCTCAGGAGCTGTCAGAGAACAAATTTCTGTTTTAGGCCACTGAGTTTGTGGTAATTTGCAAAGCAGCCACAGGCAGCTCATGCACCCCGCGGTCCCGACCTTGACCCACGTAACTTAGAAGCTTCGTTGTGCAGACAGAGAAACCAGCGCTCAAAGCTGAAGAAAACTTGCTCCAAGGTTGTGCGTCCAAGCAGAACGGGAGCCCTCCCAGCAACGACAGGGTCTAAGTGGGATGTTCTAGGGCTGTCGCTCCAAGCTCGACCCACGCCCACGAAGCTGAGGAAGCCCCCCTCGCTGAGCACGAGGATGACGCGCAGTGGAAAGGGGGTCCCATGGCGTCCTTGACAAGGATGCCACGGGTCACTGCACATGCCCGTGGGCAGCCCCACTGGTCAGCTGTCCTGCAGCAGGGTCCTACTCTGGAAGCCACATGGGGGCAGTCAGGGCCAAGTGGGAGAAGAACACAGTCTCTGAGGTGTCACCCGTCCACAGTGCAGGGATACTCCCAGGGTGCCCGATACACCTTCTCTCTAGCACTCAGCAACGTCAGCAGAAGAGAGGGGAAGTGGTCACACAGCATCTTCCTTCCCTCCCTCCCTCTCTCATGCACATGCACACATACACCTGCCCCCATCCCGGTTCCCAGGTCCCTCCTCTTCTCCTGCCAAGCCCAGAGCACAAAGCTCAGCCCTCCTGCCAACTCTTCCAACCCACCCTGGGCAAACCTCATGGGATGCAGCAGATGCTTTCTGCCAAATACCAAGAAAAATATCCTTCCCGCTGGTGTGTGGGCCCGTCACTGGGCTGCCTACATGGGGCACAGGGGAAGGGCTGGCGGGTTAGAAGTGTGGGTCTGCCAGCTGATGTGGCAACGAGCATATGCAGACACATGCCCCGGGGGAGGGGCCCCCGCATCCTGCACACCGCAGACGCAGGAAGGTGCTGGTGTCCACCGGAGCCCCTGCTGTCCCAAGGTGGGCGGGCTGGGGGCCCCTGGCATGAATGGCAGAGAGGAGGGTCCTGCCAGGCTTCTGTCGGCAGGGCAGAGCTTGCATGCCTGCGTGTTGTCACATTTGGTTGATAGCTTTCTTTCTTCTGGTTCCTTTTCAACTTGACTTGGGAGAAGGGCTGCCTCTCATCTCAAAAACAAGCAACCCCCCTCCAGTTCTTGCTGCCAGCCACCTCTGCCAACTGTCGACTTCCTCCACCTCTGAACAACACAATTCTTAACAGTTGGTCTACACTACACTGGGGCTTCTATCTTCCCATCACCCACTCACTTCTGAACCTCTGCTGTCTGGCTTCTGCCTCTCTTGCTATTAACACCGAGTTCTTAAAACAAAATCCTCATCACGGACATCCAGTCCCCACCACAGGACCTGGGGGCAGCACGTGGCATGCATTAACCACCCTCCTTTTGGAAAAGCACTCCTCCCGCTGCTCTCCTCTCCTCATCCCCCACACAGGGGTGTAGACAGCACACAGGGGTCTCCTCTCTCCTCATCTCAGTCTCCTAGGAGAGAGGAGATGGCCTCACCTCCATCGCCAGCTTCAGCCATCACCCCCAGACTGACGTCTCTAGTCCTGACCCCATTCCCAGCTCAGACACATGTCTACAGTGTGCTGTTTTCTGAGGACACTACATCCTTCATGCAGGCCCTGCAGTCTCAAACCCTACCTAAAATCCCCTATGTTAAAAATCACCACCTCCAGGAAGCCCTCCGGATGTCCTCCATCAGATGTGACCCCCCACCCCCTCGCCTATTTCCTGAGTCACACCCTGACCTGGCGCCAGGCCAGGGCTGATTTACTCACCTCCTCCTGAGTCTCCTAGGTAGCAGCCTCAGTAACTGTTTGTGGAACTTGGTAGCAAGAAGGCCCCATTTCCCCCCTTCTAAGAAAAAATCCTCCCACAGCCACTGTCAGGTTGTAAAAGGTGCCCTCCCAGGCACCTTTCATGTACATTTCTTTTTCCTCTTGAAAAGCTATCATTATATCAACAATGTATCTTAGAAATTATTTGATGAATCTTAACTTTAGAACATTATGACACTGCTCGGTCTGCAACCAGCTCTATTGTTCAGTGCGGTGGCCGCTTTGTAGATCACAGTAGCTCCGGGCCACCATCCCTCGGCAACCAGCGTGCCCCTGAGCTACAAACTCTTGGCTGACCCAAAACCAGAATCCTGAACACCAGGCAACGAAACAACCAGACCCTGTGCTCATTTCAAGAACAAATGTAAAACCCGTGTCTGTTGCACAGGGCGTCTGGCCCCGTCAGCTCACTCTGGGGTGTCAGGAGGGAGGACCGCCAGGTGGGGGCGCTCCAGGTCGGCGTTAGGTGCGCTGCAGAGAACCTTCACCCTTCACTGAATGGAGGACCAGAACAAAAGCTCAGGAGGTAAAATGCTAGGAGTTTGAGTCAAACAAATGTTTTGGTGTTTAGAGATGCACTGAGGTTCTGAGCCTGGGCAGGAGAGGGCCAGAAAGGGCAGGATGGAGTCCCCATCCTGGGGCACATTACCACCTTCAGGGGAACTTCTAAGAAATACAGATGCCTGGGCCTCTCCCCAGCAATTCTTATTGAACTATTAACACAGGGGTTGATGTTTTTACATTTTTCTCAGGGGAGTCCAGCGTATAATTGGGGTTAAAAACCACCGGTTAGGACTGATAGACACACACACACCAGGGGATTTGGCAAGATCTTGATAACATTTTAGGACTGAACGTCCCCAAGAGACACACATGGGGTGAGTGGGGGCTGAGGGTCAGGAGTCCTTCAACCGTCCGAAGAAGCTGCTGCCCTCCAGAGGTTTTCCTTCTGCCTGAGGACCGAGATAAAGGCAGCACAAAATCAACCCTTAGCTTGAACGGAGAGCTGCGTTGACAAGCAGGTGGTCTGTGCAGTTCTTGCTGCCTGAACAGCAGTGAGGGGTCCAGGCCGGAGGGGCCCGGGCCAACTCAGCGGACAAGGTGTGGGCTTTTTATCACGGGTGGGGCTTGGAAGAGAACAGGGGAAGGACGCCTCAGAAGGGGTCCAGAATTCGCCTCTGTGGCATAATAACTGTTTTGAGCCAAAGGCATTTGCGTTGCTGAAATCTCTTATCTGCCTAAAAGCAGAGCCTCCCAGAACTCACCTGTCACCAATCCCCTCCTCTGAGCAACAGGGGAGGAAGGACTCTCATCACAGAAGATGAATCTCCGCATCACCCCTAAACAGACACTGTCACGAAACTATCGTGCCTGCCATCTTCTCCTAAGGGCCTGTTTATCTTTCCAAAAAGCCATTTGTTTTCCAGAAAATACTCCTCTCCTCCTTCCCTTCCCCTACCCAGATGGCATATGAGCCCCAAATTCTAACTTCCTCTTTGAGTCACATTTTCCGGTGAACCCCCACATGTGATTAAATCTCTTTTTTCTTGCTAATGTGTCTCTTGTCAGATGAATTTGCAGAACTCCGACTCCTGAACCTAAGAAGGTAGAGGAAAAGTTTTTTCCTCCCGGACACCTACTGCCCCCAAAATCCACGCTCTTTATGGCAGCTCTGCCCCTTCCCCACCCACAACCAGCAATTTAGACTCCTGTTTCTCAAAGTCTGTTAACACGGGACAGCCTGCCCTGTAGGATGTTCCCGTCCCAAAAGGTTTCTGCACTCAAATAAATTTGGCAATTACTACCCTGACAATCCCTCTTTTGGATATTGACGAATATATGTCAGTATACTAAATGTATTAAATTCTGCAATGTGTTTTTTTAAAGTGTAACTTCTTTAACTATTTCCCAAACTTGTCGGACCACGGTACCCCTCTGCCTCTATAATGCCTATTAATGATCCCACAGAGAACACAGTTTGGGAAACATCGGTTTACACTTTGCAGCCCATCAGCTCTGCTCTTGCTCTAGGCCAGACATCAGGTCCTTCCAGCCTCTCCGGACACAGGCTCGGGTGGGAGTGGAGAATACAAGCCCCACAGGTAGAACGACAGCTTACCTGGGTCAGCCACAGGTGTGGGAATCACATTTTTAAATCCAAATTCCTAAGTTACCAGGAGCCACAAGAAGGAATGATCATCGCAGCATCGCAGCATTATCAAGGCCAAACAAACAAACCAACCCTGAAAACAACCCAGATGTCCATCGAGGAGAGAACAGAAAGCTAGGTACT